ATGGTGAACTCAAACCTTGCATTAATTTCATACAATCCATTTATAATGAAAAAGTTTTTCTGGTCGCTTCGACTACTGACTTATCAAAAATATTACATCGTATTACGAGTCTATCTCAAATTGAATGCATCTTTATCTTCAATTCGGAAAAAATCGATCATCAACATATAGTTTTCGAACATCCAAAACTGATTGGAATCTATAATAAACTCGACTTATTATGCTTATCAATACAAGAGCAAGTTGATTCTCTAGAACAACACTCAAAAACATTTAGCTTCTTCGATCACGATGAATACGTGACAAAAAATCTATCAAAGCAAACGGCGGATCTTCTGTGGTTTCAATTTTATCGTGATGTTCTCTTTCAATTACCATATGATGAAGAAGCCAAACGTGAAATGATCGATGCATGTCGTTTTTATTATATGGACAATGCCAAAGAATTGGAAATGATTAGCAAATTTGAAAATGAATATCGATCAGAAGAAGCTCTTCGATGGTATTTAAAGAAATCTTTTCTCTACAGAATCATCAGCAAAGCTTTGAGAATTAAAGACTTCGACGAGCTCTATACTTTTCGGTATTTTATGAAAGATCTGTCCGAAAGTCTCGTTCGAGAACATCAAAAATTAGCTCGATCTGGTAAAGAAATACTGATTACCTATCAAGGGATAAAATTGACCAATGATCAAATCGAGAAATTCAAAGAAAACGAAGGTAAACTGGTTACCGTCAATGGGTTTTTGACAACAAATATTCTTCGTTCAGCTGCAGTCAACCAAGCAATGAAACCTTCCAAACAAACTAATCTCACTGCTGTTCTTCTAGCAATTCAATGTGACCTAAGACAACTTGGCAACTGTGCTATTGTTGCTGACATTACTCAATTCAATGAAACATCATATGAAGAACAAAAGGAAGTTCTCTTCGATGCAAATATTACTTTTCGATTGGACAGTGTGAAAAAAGAGGAAGAAATTTGGTTGATAGAAATGAGTGCATCAAATGAAGGTCAACTTATCAAAGAAAAATATATAAAAGACTCACATCGTCAAATACAAGATTTGAGTATCAAAATTCTATTTGGACGATTGATGTGTGATATGGGTCAATGGAATCAATCACAACATTTCTTTCAACATTTATTATACGATTCTAATAGCAATAGTGAAGACCTCGCGAAGCTTGAACGTAGTCTTGGTGAAGTTCTTCAATGGAAAGGAGAATGGACTAGAGCACGAAAATATTATGAGTGGGCTTATGATCGGATGACCAACTCCAAACCAACACGGATCAAAGATTCAGCAGATATACTCTTTAATATTGGTGAAATTACGTATCTGGAAGGAAATTATGAAGAAGCTCAGGATTATTGTGAACGAGCATTGGCAATACATAAGGAGTATTATTCTTCTGTCAACTTCGATAAATCCTATTCACCAAATCACCAGTCTAGCAGTCTGTGAAGTCGTGTTTCAGCGTCGTGCTCTACGACTCCATTGGAGTCAAAAGGATTAATTCAATCGAATTCTCAATGGCTTTGTGCTACAGGGTGTCAACGCATCTCTTTGCAGTTTTCACCGAAACATGAGATAAATAAAGCAGAACTTAATGAAGAACGATGGACCCAAAGAAATTTGCTAGAACTCTGTCGAAACATACGGGAAAGTGGAAGATTGCAAATAGACAAAATTAATCGGGATGGCTATGTTCCTATTGCTACTATTCTCCGCAGTTTAGGAGAAATTCTCTTCCAAAAAGCCCAGTATGAAGAAGCATTCGTTGTTCATCAACAAGCTTTGGAAATGCTTGAAGAATATTATCAGTTTCCGCATATCGATATTGCTGTTAGCCTTCACTATATTGGTAAAGTTCTCATATATCAAAGAAAATACGATGAAGCATTCGATTTCTGTCAACGATCTATCTCAGTCTGTAGCAGATATTATCCAAATGGTCATGTATACACCGCCTCTACTCTCGCCAGCATAGGTCACATTCTCTATCTTAGAGGAAAATATGATGAAGCTCTTAAGACTTATGAACAAGCTATGACAATCCTGCAAAAATATTATCCATTTGATCATGTCGATATCGCTGATAATCTTAATGGAATGGAACACGTTCACTATGGACAAGGACAATATAAAAAAACCGTGATGTTGTATGAGCAAGGACTGCAAATCCTACAGAAATATCTTTTCTCAGGCCATAAAGGCATAACTTGTATTCTAAACAACATTGGCTACGTACAAAGTGAACGAGGAATGTATACTGAAGCTTTAGATCTCCATAAGAGAGCACTAGTACTTCAAGAGAAATATTATCCACATTATCATGCAAACATCTCTGAAACTCTTAATTTCATCTCTCATGTATTAATTTGTCAATCAAAATATGATGAATCTCTATGCTATTGTCAACGAGCGCTAACGATGCAGCAGAGCTATTATCCGTTAGGTCATGCTTCAATGGCCACGAGTCTCAACAATATTGGCAACAACCTATATGGGAAAGGAAAATACAGTGAGGCTATTGATTTCCAACAAAGAGCACTCGCAACTATCAAAAAATACGCTTCATCTAATCATTCTTTCATTGCATTTTATATGAACAATATTGGGATTATATTATGCAAGCAGGAAAAATATGATGAAGCTCTCGATTATCATCAACGAGCACTTGAAGTACAAGAAAAACATTGTTCATCATGCCAGAATGAGATTTCTAATAGCCTTAATCACATCGGTGATGTTCTCATTGAACAGAAAAAGTATGATGAAGCCTTGAAGTTCTATCAACGTGCACTGGAAACACAAGAAAAGTATTATCGAAATAGTCATGTGGAGATTGCAGCAACCCTAGATAATCTTGGTACAACATGTCGTCTACAAAAACGTTTTATTGAAGCGATTGAATATCATCCAAAAGCATTAGAAATTCAAGAGAAATATTATCCATCAAACTGTGTCATCATATCCAATACTATGAATCGTATCGGTCATGTTTTGTACAATGAAAGAAAGTATGACGAAGCTATTCACTATTATCGACGAGCACTTTCAATGCAAGAGAAATCGTATCCTGATGGTCACATTGAAACTTCTCATACTTTAAACTCTATTGGTAGTGCTCTATACGAACAAAAGAAGTTCGATGAAGCTCTTCAGTTTTATCAAAAATCTTTGACTATTCAAGAAACATATCATGAACTTTTACATATCGACATCGCTAGGAGTCTGAATTCTATTGGTAATGTTTTATATAGCCAAGAGAAATATGATGAAGCTATTCATTTCTATCAACGATCATTAGATATCCGAGAGAAATTCAATCGATTTAGTGATATTGGCATCGCTACCGTGCTGGGCAACATTGGAAGTGCTCTTTATGAACAAAGAAAGTATGATGAAGCTATTGACTTCCATCTACGAGCACTAACATTTCGAGAGAAATTCGATACAACTAATCATGATGATATCGTTGATAGCCTAAGAAATATTGCCAATACTCTAAGCGAACAAGAAAAGTACAATGAAGCTATGGAGTTTCAACAACGAGCATTGGTCATTCGAGAGGAAAAATATTCTTCTTGCCATGAAACAATTGCAAATAGCTTGAACGGCATCGGTGATATTTACATTCGTCAAAAGAAATACGATCTAGCTCTGCAATGTTTCCAAAAAGCTCTAACAATCCTCGAAAAGTGCTATCCATCTGGGCATGTTGATATTGCTGAAAGTCTGCAATACATCGGTAACGTCCTGCATAAGCAAGAAAAGCCCGATGAAGCTCTCAATTTCTATCAACGAGCATTAACAATCTATGAGTATTATCATCCATCTGGTCATGAAAGGCTTGCTCAATGTATGCATTACATTGGCTATATACTGAATGATCAAGAAAAATATGATGAAGCTCTGGATTTTTATACTCGAGCACTAATGTTTTACCAGAAGCATTCACCCAGTCATTCGAATACCGCTATTTGTTTGAGTAACATGGCTCAAACTTTAAAAGAACAAGAGAAATATGATGAGGCTCTCGAATTCCAACACGAAGCGTTGACGATTCTCAAAGCTAACTCACCTAGTGATCAGTTCACAATTGCTAATACTCTCAAGAACATTGGTCATACTCTGTTTAAGCAAGAGGAATATGACGAATCTCTCGACTTCTATCAACAAGCATTGATCATATTCGAAGAATATATTTCCAATGATCCTATTGAAATAGCTGATTGTCTATACTGGATCGCTGCTAACTTGAATCGAGAGTCTCAATTCAGTCTAGCTATTGAATATTTGGAAAGATGTTTATTAATTAAAGAAACTACGTCACTTCGACAAGATCTTTCCATTGCTCACGCACTAACATGTTTGTCACAAGTACAAAAAACAAGAAGGAACCATGAACTCGCTCTCACACATGAACAGAACTGTTTTATGATGCGTCTCAAAGTTCTACAACCAGATCATGAAGACATTGGCGATGGTTTATCCAATATAGGCGAAATATACGAAAAGCTTCATAAACCTACGTTGGCACTTGATTACTATCAACAAGCATTAGCTATCTTCACGAAATGTCACTCATCTGAACATGATAATCTAAGAAAGATGAAATCGAATATTAAAAGACTTTCAGAAGAACTTAAGATATAACTCAATGAATCCAGTTGACTTTTGAAATGTACTTCTTTTCGTTTGAATATCATCATTATAAGAATAAAGTATTGATGGGAATATGTTTTGCTGTTGCATGTACGTGTTTTCTAATGAATGACCAAATCATCTAGAATGCATTATCCATTCACCAATAATCTAGAAACGTTGTTGGATTTATTCTACATTCAGTTTCTCTCCTATTCATATTTTCAAAATCCATCAAGTTCCCAGTATAAATTTCTAACTTTTTTCTGAAACAGTATTTTCTATTTTTCTGAAATAAAGACTCCTGGAAAGTAAAATGTGCAGGAATCTAACGAATAAAGTCTTAGACCAAGATTCAACATTTGAAATGGTGCTCTTTTTAATTCACAAAACAAATTATTGTATTATTCTCAGCTCGAGGTACGTGTCATTGTGTTCAAAGTACTCAAGTTTTATTTCCAGAAGGTGTGGGTGTAGCTCAAACCCACGTCCACAACCACCCCTACCTACACGCTTGTCTCATATGAATACATCGTAATACGAATTTATATTATTTTTCTAATTTTCATATAGACAACTAATCTTGATGTACAAGTTGATGTGGCCGCTACAAATTTGACTAATGTTACCGCACAAGTTTAAATACTGTTGAACGAATCGATATCAAAACATTGAGTAATGTGCCAAATGAATGGGAATGTCAATTATGTCAATTAATCCATGTAATAGTTGACAATGATTGGCGTTTACTTGACAAACTTTTTCGGTTATTCCGAAAGTGAATTGAGACGGTGATCTTTGCAAGCTGATTCATGTATGAATCTACTCAATGAATGATTTATAACACGTAAAATCGATGAAAAGAGATCGATCGACAAGACGCTGCAAAAATAATTCGAGAAGAAGTTGTAACTGCCGGTGACCTTATTCCTGATGATATTTCAATAAAAATCAAACATGTGCCACCGGTTTTTTCTCTCTTATCAATGGAGAACCCAACAAGCTCTCAAGAATCCTTTAGAAGCAGCAAGTTATTCATGTTGGATGAATTCAGATCAAATGATTGGTAGTGAATAAGGGTTTGGTAAAATTGATACTTGCATTCGAGGAGTTAAAGTTATTATATGTTGTATGAATACTTCCTATGCTCGATCGAATAAATACCTACGTAAAGTACATCTATGTGTCAGTACAGAAAACTTTTGATATCTTTACAAATAGAAAAACAATAATGGCTTTCTGAAGGTTCTCTTCATGTTATGATTAACGAATATTTGTATATTCGTTTTTATGATCGCGAATGCAACGCAGACAATTATTGGCCAACGAAAAGATTTACTGAACTGCCAGGTAGAATCTGCTATCAATTAGTACTTGATACAGATATGATTATCGAGCAATATTAGAATTGGCTTATACCACAAATTAATAATTTGCTCTTTCTTCAGCCGACTGCGGCCGATGAGAAAGGCAAACAAATCACGTTGAAAGGCGATATATCAATTGCTAATACTCATCCACAAATCATCACTTCTTATCAATGTGGTCGTCATGCAAACATTACCGCTTTTTATCAACGACTAGCGCAACTAAAATATCAATGCTGACTTGATATATTTCAAATGATTGGCATTGATGCCTTATTCGAAAAGATTGCTACTAGAATTTTTAATGGAAAATATGTACTTGCCTGTGTGACATTCAAATCTACGAAATCGATAAATTATCGTCGAAAAATGCGCATTATCTGATTGTCTAGCTAAACCGATTATAACATTATTGCTTGAAAAGATCTATACATGACCACCATCAGATTTAATGTCACTTTTTTTTACCGACAGTACAAGCTGGCGATAAATGGACAAGTCAAAACAACATCAAACGATCCACAGTACTAGTAACTCTGCAGACAAAAAAAATGAAAACCAGTCAACGCTTGTTCGAAATACGCCTAATGGTTTGACTCGTACAACTTGAGAAAAGTAAAAAACGGGATGTGGGTGAATATTGTTAAAAATTAGATTTTCACCCGCAACCCTAGCATAATTTCAAAAAGCACTTTTATAGTTGAGTGTGGGTGTTCATCGTATCTCAACCCACATCCCACATCTATGTCAGCTTTAAAAAGTACTTTTAAAGCTTCTGTCTTCTATTATGAAATCAGCTGGCGATAAATTAATGCTATATTGAGATCAAAGTCACAATGATACGATTTTTTAGTGCATTCATCTGTTTTGAAAGACTGTAGGTTGTTATGGTTGCTCACAGTGAGAACTGGAAAAGACAACTGTTATTTTCATTGAAAGCATACTACAAAAATCAAATCATTTCCAATAAAACTAGTAAAAGAGAGTGCAACTCTAGAGCTTTCATAGTAGTACATTCTTGTATCATAATGCTTTATTGTAAAGAAAGATAGTCTACCGATCATACAATCGTATGAATATACTGTAATTCAAAAGTATCTAGAGGGATTTGTGGTATTATCAAAAAGAAAAAGAGTGTGGGTGTTCACGAGCAAAACAAGTTACATCTACACCGAACCATCATCTAATTGATTTTTCGCTTAGTTTTCCATACTCTGTTTTTTATTTAATCCAGTGAAGATGTCTTCAAGATGATGAGAAGTTTTCAAATTGTTGTCAAATATTCTTGCTCGTTAGAGCTCGAAGTTATTTTTTGTTTTTCACGTTTTATATTGAAAAGATCGCTTGCATGATATGAAGCACGTTCTACGAATCAGTTGTCCATACAAACTATATACTTCGATCGAATATACTGCTTCATTATAAGTAATATATTTTCAAAGTCGTTTTTAGGCAAAATTTCTGAACAGGTTTCTATATTATAATTCAATGGCAATCTTTCCAATCATTAAGAGACCATGCATCATTCAGCCTCCAATCCAGTTTTCTTCTCCAAAATTCCAATCGCACGTTATCCAGCTGTTGTAGAAATATATTTATACCCTAGTTTGAGCGGGATGAGTATCTGTGTGAAAGGCTGTGAGTGTGAGTGCTGATCTGAAGGAAATAATGATCCACAACCACACTCTGGCATGTAAAAATAGTTTGACCAGGAACAATAAATAAATCGATCGATGTGATAAACAATTGATCAGTCCTTTATTGAATGCAAATGGTGTTTTCTAGTTTGATATAAGTGCAATATTATTGAAAATCCTCATGAGAAATGTCTGCCATGGTTCAAATCGACAGTATTACTAATGTCATATATAACCTAAATGAACCATCCTTAGTTTTTATCAAAGAATATTCCATCTTACATATTTTTCTTTTATCAATGAAAACGAAATTCACTCTTGTATAACTATATGTCATCGTACTAGAATAAAACAACTGATTTACATTGATTAAATAATTGATATTTTTTCCCATGCGAAAAAAAGTAGAACTTCATTTAGAGCAATCAAAAGTCGACAAATAAGTAACATGGCGTCTTTTTCTCTTGTTTTGTCTTTTGTTTCAATTATTTTCTCTGGCATAAAATAATCAAGCTAATTCAGTGATAAAATCTTGCTGATCTGATTGAATATCTAACGAAAGTCAAATATTAATCAAGTATGTCTCTTTTACGGTACTTCTTTATTTTTGTCTCAATACTATTAAGTATTATTGGTCGAACACTTAGTGAAAGCTAGAAATATAGTAATCGAAGAGCGGATATTTGGAGTAAAATATATTCATCATGTGCTGGATATTCCCAATCAACATAAAAACCGCATCTATTATTTATCAAGCATTTACTTCTTTTGATTTTTCAGCTGGTTATAATCTTGGTCATGATTTTATACTTTTGAATAATGAATGTTGTGTTATGCAAAGAGAATATCACACTGCTATATAAAAAATTATGGGTATTATCATATTTAAAGCGAATAAAAAATGATTAAAAATCAAAACTTTATTGATTATTTTGATTCTAATCGATTAAAATTCAATAAAAAAATTGATTATATTTGATTTCTGTTTGTTATCCATGAAAAAAATCTTCAACTGACCTCCACCGATTTGCATCGCTCTTAATCGATTTGTAATTAATCTTATATCGCTTTTAATTTGATCAGATCTCTAATTTTACTCACATGAGTGCGAGTGTGCGTGTGAGGTGTACCTACGAGTGCGTGTAAATAGAATATTCACAACCACATCCACGCCAAATCAGTATACGCTTAACGTTTTTGCACTGATCAAATGCTCTGGACAAGAAAAATCTCGTCTCATACAAAACTCTGCACAAAATAAGTTCAAACAACAATAGATTGAGTACTGAATAATAGCGTGAGATAAAAAAAAGTAATGTAGCAATTTAGCAGTGAATGATAGGACCAATCGATCGGAAAATTCAAAAAAGTACTATTTCTACTACAATTTATGCATAAGATGAAAAAGAAAATAAATGATATTTTGTTGTATGTTTTGAAATCTCCCTATGGAAATAAAGATAGATCACAGGTTTCTACTCGAAATAGCTCCATAGAGAATGAATTCTGTTTCTTGGAAAGCATTTCTGTTTGACTTTATCAGGAGGGACACATTTCTTCTGTAAATGGAACAATTTCTCGTTTTTCGGGCATGGTTCCCAGCTCTCGACAACCACACCTACACCCATTCAAACCATCCATGTGTAAATCAAATATATGTTCAATGAAAATTATTTCAAAAAACCCGAAAAATCGGAATGCTCTAAGTATTTTAGTTTTGTTCAACAAAGGATAAACATATCACATTGTTTCAATATTTTATACCTATCTTTTCATCCCGAGCTTTCATTAGTGTGAGAGGCATCAACCATGGTGCTCAATGGTGTAACATCCTATAAATAAAACGTAAAACATTACAATTTCACTATGTGTTTTTCCATATACTCTAGTCCTGTAAATATTTGAATCACTAGTTTGTCATAGACGAATAGAATGATTGAGACAATCTTTGTTCATGATTATACGTATTTATGTAATATCATTAATAAGAAGAAAAAAAATTATGAACTTCCTTTAGTACAGATAAAATACCGTGCACAAAATAGGTAGCTACGGCTATTGGATTCGTGATTTCTGTTGAATTACCGCTAGCAATAACATCACTGACAGCAGGACAACCAGTTGCTGCATATGGATTACCTTTGGCTAGTGCATAGATAATATGTCTAGAACGAAATTTATTCATACAATAAATTATTCGAAGCAAAAATTATCTCGTACTTAAAATCAGTATAATCACGACCTTGTCCTAGTGGATTTAGAAATGCACGTTCAAGTTGCAATACTTGGTCGTTATATACTCGAATTTTATATAGACTACAGAAACCAAAATTCACTTTTTTGATTTTCATCACTGACAATTTTTACTTTTTTGAATCCATTGATTTCGATCGTGTAACAAAATCTTGAGCAGCCTTACCATAATCATTGATAGCATTTCGTAATGAATCTCAAAAGAGAATTTCAATTATTTTAATAAAAATCTAACATTAGTAAAATTTCTACCGAAAACTCTGGGATCTTTTTGTTGAAGATTGTCGATTCCCATTGTTCTATGAGCCTGCTTGAAATACATTTAATAACACAAAAAAAAGTTTTGTTCTAGAATAAACTTACTGTGAAATCTGGATCAATAAACTTTTTCACCATCCAAAAAACTTCATACGATTTATGATACAGTGGATATGAGCTCATACTACCGTGATCACTAGGATTCAACATATATCGTACATCCACATTTGATGAACCCACTAATTGATCAAAACTGAAGAAATCACTACCTGATCCAAGATCATATCTTATTCTTCACAAAAAATGTTATTGACAACTAGAAGTGAGATTTTGGTTTCTTTACTTTGGTTCATTAGTTACAGGATTTCAATCAACCTTCATCCATTTATCATAGATAGTTTGACCATCAGAATCATATGCATTTGGAATCTTTAATGTAAAGTAGAGAAATACAGTATTTTTGTAGTATATATTATTACCATTTTTGCTGCTTCAATTATAATGTCGAATAACAATGGATAGGTTCTGACGAAAACCGTATGATTTCCTGTTTCAAGCATGAGTAAAGTAACCGTTTCAATTCTTAACACATATCTTACCTTGAACTGCCATATCTACATTCAAATAAGAGACGGTTCGAGCACCGAGAACTTTCACATATTCCTTTCAAAAAAAAACATCAAATTATAATTCTAGCATACTGATTAACAAGGGCACGGAACGTCTTCAGCGGTTTTGGTAATAACCTCGTCTAGAGACAAAAATATTGAGAGAACACCAATTTTGGAATATCACTTAGATGAAACATGACTAGTTTCTCTTTTATTGAACTCATAATGGGCAACGTTTAGCAATGATGGAGATTCAAAAGCGTTTAAGTATATACTGTTTATCGAATGAGAAACTAAACATGTTTGAATCTTTCCTAGCTTAAGAAACGTGAATTTACGATAGGTGTTAGCTGAACTCAAACTTGAGGCTCGATCGTGTGTGTCTATTAGACATGATTTGGTAGTAGATAGAATATGGAATGATCTTGTAACAATGAATCTCTTGTGAAAAGAAAATGAAATTTTCGAATCTATCTAATACATTATCTATTGAATATAAAATGGACTTATGTCTAGGTTGGTCTGGTGACTCTACCGCTTACGTGACTTCTAATTTTAGAATTAGATAATTGCTATACCTCAACGTATTCTACCGATCCAGTGAGTTCATATTCTTCAGCACCCCATGAACAAAACATTGAACTACGTTGTGGTCGAAATCCTATTAAAGTAAATGTCGATTATAGTATCGTTGAAATACGAGCGTCATGAATTACCATTCTTATACATTTGACCAAGTACTCGCGTTACTTCTAGCATAGTAGCTGTTCCACTCGTTGGATCAACAGAGCCCAGATTCCAGGCATCTCTGAAAGATAAAACAGCTTGAAAATGATCGAGTAAGAAGTGTTCAATGACATAGCTAATGCAAAAAAAAGGATCAAACGAACTTGAAGTTCACCTATTGCAGTGTTAATGATTCACGATTAACTCTTGAATGTTTAAAAAGAGCAACATAGATACAGTATGCTGCTTTTTTTCTTTTCAAAAAAAAATCTTAAAAGCACTCAAATGCTTTATATCTTACCGATGATTGCCTAATACAATATATTGATCTAAAACAATAAACAGTTTCATATTATCGCAGAACAACCTTCAACCAATCTGGTTCAATTTCTCCTGTGATGATTCCAATCACATTATAAGTATCTTTTCTTTTCTGTCGATTGTATGATTTCAATTGAATTGTACTATTGAAAACAAACCATAGTTTTTAAAGATCTTGCTATTCAATCATCTTACGATGCATCACGAAGTTCTCCACCATAACGATACGTTACATTTCGTAAACCTCCACGCCATTGAGCATCTACTTCATCTTCTTGCAAATACCTAAATGTGACATTTTTTTATCAATTAAAAGTAAAGAAGTACGATTACTCACTGAAGAAGAATTTCAGCTTCACTATAACCGATTGGTTGAACGGGAATTTTCGGTAGAAAACTGGCACTATCTTCTGCCACTCTATACATATAATCTATAGTATTGAAATACACTATACATCCTAAGCTGATAACGAAAATATTGCAAAACCTCTCGATGGATATATACGAGTCAAAGAATCACCATTCGAAGTGAAAGCTGACCCTCGTTGTACGCCACTTGGAGGCATATACCACTTTTGATCATAGACTTGATCAGCTGTTGTTCCGAAAGGAGCATAATTAGCTGGATCATTGTATGTATCATCCATAATAGAAAAAAAATACCTTATCCCCTCGAAAAATACGACTATATCTCATAATAACGATACTACCGTTAAGACTAGCATTTCCAGTCATAGATGCTAATTTGTGAAGATCTTCTAGTTCATCATAATTCGCGTAGAATAATTTCGTCTATTATATTCACCATGAATGTTTTCTTTAACATGAAATGAATGATGAATATTTTTTCTTAACTTACACTAGAAACAGTTCTATTAGGTGTATTAGCAAGAAATGGATTGACTGTTTTTGGTTGTGTTAGGTCGTAGACTTTTTTCAGTTCCACTTGTTTGAAATATAACCGTTCCATTAGAAAGTTTGAGAGTAATTCTGAATAGAAATATGACTAATAGTCAATCAAGAGATTGCTATTGTATACTTACCGATTAAGCTCACTATCATCTGGATACGAAAGAAGAACATTGTATTTTGGTTTAATTACTTGCAAACCATCAAGTTTCTATCGTTCTTCAATGACTTGAGCACTTTCTAAATCTTCAAGTTGACCAGCCATATGAGAACGTCAAGTGAGATTTCTATATAATTTTACATGGCATAGATATTTTTATTGAAATCAATAGTTTGATTAAGTTTACTTAAGATTTGCTTCAATATTAGCTGCTGAATAGAATCAATAAATGTTCGATAGTTTTTTGGATCAGCTGGCCTTGTAAGACGATTATATTTCCAAGATGTACCACTTGTTTTCTTAGTTATACCAAAATGGCCAATGATGAGACCAAGTCCAAGAGCAAATGCAGTTGCAATCACAGCACCGATTATCAAAAACTAAGTATTATTAAATAATCATTTTCGAATCAGATAAATTTACAGAATATTTTACATTGGTATTCATACTTACAAAGGTTTATTTTGCTTATTGTTGTCGATTTTTTTATGATTCAATTGTATAGGTTGATTGCTATCAATGATAACTCATGAAGTTTAATGTCTTTGCTCTTCTGAATGCAGGTTTGAATAATGTTTTTATATTCTTTCACATATTGCCATTTTATAAGCTATTTTTTGTTCTTTTGTTTTATCTGCCAAATATATCATGATTCTTCTTTTTTACTTTCTCGTTAAGATTTATTCTGAATAGATTTCAAAACGAATATTGAATGAAAAAATAATTTTTACAGAAAAGAAAATGTGTTTTTCACATGAGAAACTTTCAACTTTGTCTTTATTGATATACTAATTGCCACAAAAGCTGAACATATTTCGAGTGAAAAGGAAAGCAAATGTTGATATGGTGGACAAAACAACGTTTTATCGGAGAATTTTATGGAGAGTATTGATTATCTAGACACCTAGAGAAAGGTATTTGAGAAGAATATAAGTACTTTGAAAATGAAGCATTATAAAGAAAATATGCTATATTGATTATTGTAGAAAAGATGAGCTTCTCTATAACTAACGAGAGAACATCCATTCGATAAGTCGAAGTGATATTTGGCTTATTATCAGGCCTTAAGGAACTTAGAAGAAATCTGAAAATGTTTCTCACCATACAATTTCCTTATAGAGTCCTGATCATTCTAACGGATTTTCGGCGTTTAGGAAGGGATTCCTAGCAAAAAACAAATCAAAAAATTCTCATCTAAAAGTTTATCTACAAAAATGTCTTTTGATACTTAGAATATCCTTAAAGAAACAATAAATATAACCATAGAAACCTACTTGCGAATATATCAAAGTAGGTTTTTAGTGCAACGGTTGTAAAATGGGTTTTATTCTCAAGAAAAGTATATGGATAGTATAATGACCAGGTTTTGTCATAGCATAATATGTATTGCAAGAAAAAAACACACTATTTATGACAAAAACCATTAAGATTTCCTCCCTGCATTCTTCTTTTGTTGTATGATAATTAATCTTCTGACAGTTTCATCACTTCTTTGTGAAATTGAAATATGAAAAAGAGGGCTAGAGAAATAGAAATATCACTAAATAGACATTCTGATCGTAAACTTATAAGTGATAGAGCGAGTTTTGTAACTAATTGATTTTGTCGTGATGGTATCAATTAACGAGCAAGAGAAAGATCATCTTCTTCATAAGTTTCCATTGATATCGAAAATTTTCAAAAATAAGCTATCTTGTCTAAAAAATTGATACGAACCCCAATCATTCCTTCAAATAGTTAAGCACTGTAAATATTTATATACGAAATTGGGAATAGAAAACTCGTTTTGACATCTACAATAGTTATCATAATATAAAGGAGTCAGTTTCGGTAGATTTCCGATTTGATTAATTATCTCTTGAAAATCGTGTCCGTTCACACGGAATAGTCGGCAATTGACAAATTTTAGATACATTAAATGATGATAATGATACAAATCTGGAAAGAAATATTGATTAATCTTCGAATCTAAACTAACACTATTGAATGTTAGTGAACGAAAACTATCAAATTGACCTAATGTAAAATTAGCCGATTGAAAATGTATATCTTGATATGGCGTATTTTCATCATCGAGCAATAGAAAATAAATATTTACTATATAACTTCATCAAGAGGAATCGTCTATTGCAATCTTGCCATCAAAACAACGATTTCGTTGAAGGGGTCTTTCGATCGACTAAATATCTAAACAGAGCTGACTTATTTTTCAGAGTGTACACTCGATGAGATCACTCCAGGGCTGCACTTTGAACCTTTTAACTTTACCTACTCTTGAGATATTTATGTTAATAAAATGTCGAACAATGACACTTTTTCTGTATACTTGACAGTATCAGGCAATTTTTAAACATTTAAATCATTTCAATTCATATTTTTATGAGACGTACTTGAACATGAGACGCGTTCACAGTAAAAATTTTAAGTCCTACAAATATATCCTTGATAAGATGTGACTGTCATAAAAGTGCAAAAAGAAAGTGTTTTATGTGATGAAAGAGCTCTCAGAAAAAAATTGAATATTTAGAAAATAAAACAATATTTTTCTGAACAGATTTAATATTAATTCATCAAATGTTTTTCTCGATAGACATATATCACAATTAGCTAAATCGACGATAATTGACTGAGCAGCTTTTTTGACAATTGATCGTAATTTTGCCCATAATTGGATATTATTTGAGCAGAATAAGTCCTCCTTATCATGCAATGACTTATAGAGGGACTTTTCTAAAATTTCTTTGGAGAGTTATTTAAATAGCATTAAACAATCCAAAAAATAGTATCGGTTCTTCCTAGCTGTTCAAATTCGAAAAAGAAAGATAATGGAAAATAACTATATCGAGCCATTTTCTTTTGAGAATCGATTATCATACGCTTAAGTCTAGTGATATTAATGCATTTTTTCTTTAATATGAAAATAAAAACAAACGAGGACAAGCAAAAATATATGAAGAACGAACGAAAAAAAAGAAAGTGAGATTATTACAATTACAGTTACACTCGTAAGTATTGCTTACCTTATGAAGATGTCACGCTTCGTTAATAATTGTAAGAAAGCAAAAATAAGAAGAAAGAAAAAACCGATTGCTTCGCTAAAACCATAGTCGTATCAAAACCTATTCTGATCAATGAGAAAGTAATAGCTATACATTTCAGCATGATTCGAATCGTAAGTCTAATTTTTTGTTATAATATAAACTATCGATAATATTTTACAGAAACAGCTAAACAGAACCTGCAAATATAATAAAAAACGATGAAATATAGAAATAAAACATGCTTTGATTCTTGATTGCAAGAGAATATACTCTTTAATAAGCATAGATGGAGCACCTTTCTATTTATGATATCCGAAAAAATTCTTTTTATGCGAAATAACACACTGCTTTAGAGACAATGGTTTTCATATCAGTTTGATAAGATGTACTTTTTGAACCCGACAAACTGAAACGAATGAATAGTTTATTAAGTAAAAACAGAGAATTTTCACAATAAAAAGACAAAGGCAAATTCAGAATGATAATTTTATTTGTTGAAATATATATATATATCAAAAAAAGCCTTAGTTTAACGGAGAAAAGAAGACAAGCCAATATGTTGACCCAAGATATAATTAACGAGGAACAGATAGAAGAAAAAATAGAATAAAGAAGAAAAAAGAAAAAAGAACGTGAAGTAGATAGATGTATTTATGTAAAATGATTGAGGAATGATGCTCACTCGTTTATTATGTATCAATGTGCAATATAATGCTGGCACAATATTCCATAATTTCAACATGAAACATGACACAGCCCATGTGTAAACAGTTGTCGATATGGTAAACACTGTAGGTCGAAACACTTAATTTTGATGCATTTAGGCATCGAAAAATATTTTATGCTAACAACAGATTTTAAGTTAACCTTCCCAAAAAGGTATTGTCAACGCATCAATAGAGTTTTGAATGGACTATCTGTCGATGCATTTGGGTTTATTTTTGTTTTGTTCCGTCATAGCCAAATGTTTGACAATGAATAAATAAAGCAATACGACTGATTGCAAGACATTTCGATCTCTTGTTTTCGGTCATCTTTAGTAGACTTGCCATCAAACAATAAGAATATAACCTGTGTAAGATGCTGGAAATGGAAAACGAAAGAACAACTTTCTGTCTTCCTTGATATATGGTTAGGTGTAGCGTAACGAGCTGATTAAGAACATCAACATCTTCTTTTTTAGAATGAGGTTTTAGACGAAAATTTTCAGTTTTGTTCTCATGACTTGCTTGTTTTCAAAAGTAGGTCAATTTCTTGTTGATTTCAAATTCATCGTGCAATAGTCAATCTAGTAAAGGCATTTATGACGCTATTCAGATATATAACATGATCATAATTCAAGTGCTATAAGACTGGAGAGGTCCAAAGTTCAGACAAGCATTTTGTAATGCTATCTAGTTTTTTTTTGACTAAGAGATACAATCGACTTCTACATCTAATTAGAATCGTTATAGGTGATACTCATAAAGTAAAGCTCGAGTTTTTCGAAACTTTATTTAATTGGTAAGAAAACTCATTTTTATTGAAATTCATATCA